TTCAGTAGCATACCCACTCTTCTTCACCCACTCGCAGATAAATCGGCGTTAAATTATCCCAAGTTTACGAAAACGTTCAGAGACTAGCTGCAGCATGCTCTAGTAGGGAATGTTCGACGATGGATACATCAGACTTTTGCGCGATAGGTGTCCGCTAGTCAGTAATTCATGCGAAATTGGTGGGATCATGCGTACCAGCCGAACACATGGTAGCTACCCGTTAACAGTCCGGTTCATAATGGAAGCATGCTCTGAGTCTAATATTGTCTGGTGCGCTACACCTTTTTTGCCAATTATGATTATCAATATCCTGGAAACGATGAGTGAGTTGGAGGTGTCTGGGTTAGCCGATTCTGACCAACGACATGCGTGTATACGCGAAGTGCATAAAGGATTGTGTATATACTTACTCGATTGGAAAGTACGCAGTCAGACTGCTCAACGGAAATTCACCTCTGGTGGATCCAGTCGGACAAGTAGCACCCCCTGGACAAAGAGAGGCAACCGTAACGTACTTTCGAGACATCAACAGGGCGCCTTACCCAGATCAGGTGAGGAGCTTGAAACAGGTAGCTACCCTATGTGGACAGAGGCTTAGGCTCACGTACCACGCAAAATTATGGCTGCCCACGTAGTGACGTCAGCGACCAGCATTAAGAGTAGCCATGTGCCTTATTGGTTAACGACTAATCGGTGTGACCTAAGTATACAGGGTTAGCTGGCCCCCCATTTGTCATGGAAAACTTCAGTTACCGTGCGACGCGTTGGACGAACAAGACACTGTGTGATAATACATTTGCGAACTACACGCCCACTGCCGATTAGTGGTGGTCTAAGCGGAATTCCTGGCCTCAATAATCCGAACCTTGTTCGCACCGACGCCATGAGGTGAGCTGCATTGGAATTTCCGATCACTTATAAGCGACCAAACTTGTGCTGACCCAGGTGTTAGTGACTTTACTGGACAAAGTGAACTGATCGTTGCTGAAGTGTATGCTTCGATTGCCTGTTAACCTCGTAGACTGACCTGTGTCCATTTACGCCAAACTCCAAGTCAGTCAGCACCGAAAATTATTAACCAAGTGGGGAAATGACAACCCACAGTCGGCAACACATCCTCTATAGGTACCAATACGAAGGTGTATCCCCACTCGTCAGCGGTATATTTCGAAAACAAATGTCTGGTAGTCAACCGACACGGAAACCCGTAACCAAGCTTATATGAGCACCGCTGAACCGATGGTGTGCTACACTAGCTCATTTTGCGGAAATATGCATCTAGCACTGAGTCAGATACCAGCTGCACAATTGCCACTCGTCATCGTCTGAACCTGCACACCGCACCAGGCCGACTGTAGGATTAGATGTAGCTCTTGTATGACGTGATGCTTGTGTGTTAGAAGCGGCGGTTTTTTGTGCTTGTCGATCGGCATGTCATCAACCCCGCGCACAAATTACTGCGACGGACTGAGCGACTGGACCCACATGGTCTAATCTACTCCTAATTTACATTCACACGTCGCCGTCCTGGTCACCCGAGTATAGCGCGTAGGTTAGAACTGGGACAGTGAGAAGCCCCTGTCGAGTCCAGTACTTGACGCGTACCAGTTTCAGTCTCCTGTCTCTGGCCAATACCAAATGAGTTCATTTCATCTGTCAGCAGTACCGTTGCAACCTATAGCGTTCTTATTCCGCTACCACTTCCGCTACTGCTGCTGATCTCCTCGACTTCCTCATTTATTCTTCTAGGACCCATCTCACAGTCCTTGGAGGACGGGGAACGCAATTCCAATCAGTAAATATTTCTCACACTGTAGTTTTCTGCGGTTTCTTTGATTTCGTCATCTTTGGAAACCATGTTGCCGAGTTTTGGTAGTAACATCAGTTGAAAGCTTATGGATATCCTATTGAACTTTTGCTTTTTGATGAAGCATACTGGTGTATGACAGTTGTGCCTCGTGTTTGAGTTCCGTGTAGTTGATTTGATATGATGGCGTAACCAAATGTGTTGTATTCTGTAGAACAGACCACCTAGGTGGCTTGGTACAACTAACATTTCAAGCTCATCGTGGGTAACTCTGTTGGTTTTTCTAACCCACTTCACAGATCACAATAGGTTTAGTGAAGCAGTACATCCTGCACTACTGATGGATTGCAGCTGGAGTCAATAGCTCACTGATATTCGGGCCACTACAGTGACTTTTGATATTTGACCCAGATGGTATTACCACCATTATTTGTGGTTATGTTGTCAGTAATTGCCGCCCATTTATTTCCAAGCATGTCTGTTCTAGGAGTTTTATCAGTACCAAACCATTAAGCATCAGTCGTTAATAAGTTTGATTAGATAATAAACTTACATTGGCGCAAGTCTTTGCAAATCTCGGTAATGTAGTTTGCCAACTAAGCTTCTTGAACTGTACAACAAGTTTTTCTTCAATTCTCCTACGGTGGTCGTCTAATTAGTAGGGAGCAATGGTTTATGATGAGTAAGAAAGCAAATGCTTGGCAAGTCTCATAGGATAGCTGGGCAATAATTATAAAATAAAAATAGTTTTTAAAAGAACGCACAATTAAAGTGACTCACTAAACGGTATGCAGGAGCGCGGATGTAACTATTCCCGCCTAGCATTTATGAGGGTTAAGACACCGTCACTAGTTGCTGTGCACTCATACCATCATCTGATGTTCACGGGCTATCTCAGGTAATGTAAGTGTGTCAGTGTATCGTCGATTTTCGAATAGTCATAACGTGGGGACATTCCTTACATACGCTGGGTGAGCGAAATCCTTTCATCGACATTCCAGTCGGCTGTACTGCGTTGCCTGCTTAACCTGAACGGCCCTCAGAGATGTGTTCCGGCTGAGTTTCAATGGATTATGGTAGGTGTGGCTGATGTATTTTGGGATCTGATACATATTATGAGACGGCCCTGTAGCCGCCGATGTTGTCCGCTGTACACTTGTATAGTTTTCTTCCTGTGTGGGCAGGGTAGGCAAGACAAACACATGATCTTCTTCGTCGTGCTGTGTTGTACAGTACCGATCGCGGTAAGGTAAAGCTTTTGCTAGCGTTGTCACGCCTGTATAGCGTATTCCGCGTTCGGCCTCATTTATGAGCCAAACATTTGCAAAAATATTGAGCTGTCGAACTTCCCGAACGACCTACGAAGGAGGCGGAATTGATGATTTGCTTTCTTTGATGACTTTTTGATCTGTCCCAACAACCAAGGTCATCTTTCACAAGCAGACCGATACCACAATCATGAGAAGTGCGCTGTAGAATTTGTGGCCCTAGTCGGCATTCGGATTACTCTGATGGCGTATACTTAGAACTCCGCACTTGCCCGCTTTGGGCTGGAGCATGTTTTCGGTGGACCATGGGTAATCTGTATCCAGACCACACCGTAAGATCGTGTGAAAACACGCCATATCTTTAGATTAACGGCGAATAGTAGAAATTTTGAAGAGTACTCGGTCGCGAGGTCATTTAGGAAGACCAAGAACAGGCGGGGCCCGGGTACTGAGTCGAGATACGACGCACTGCATTGAGATTTGGTCGGATAGAGTGCTGTTTAGCCTCAATTTCAGATAACGTTGTACGAGAAGTTTAACTATCCAGCCCAGTTCGGCATCGCTGATTCCATACTTCTGAAGTGATCTAGACGGTCGAGCACCTTCGAGAATCCAAGGTAGACTGCCTCTACTGTTACATCGGCATCCACGGATCCCGTCTAGTTTACCCGAAGTATCAACAGTTTAGTAGTACGAAACCCATTTTGTAGAAAGCCGAGCTGCTCCGGAGCAAGAATCTTGTTACTCTCCGGGTATCCATGATAGTCTCAACGACAATGGACTCTGTGACCTTGGAGATCATCAGAAGTAGTGTTCAAGGGCGATAATTCACTGGTTCTGCACGGCTGTCCCTTTTGTAGATTGGAATGATAATCTCGTGCTTCCACATCGTGGGAACATGCATCACAAATAAACGGTGGTACACCTACGTTCAATAACACATCAGTCACCACCTTGGAGTTGCTTCTGCCCAGTGCAGTGCTGTGCCATTTTAGTACACTGATCGCATCGTGTTCGTCTTATTTACATTTTGATCGTAGTTTCACCCGGTGCTTTACTGTGTGCAGCCAAGAACAATTATTCATAAGATCATAGCTTAGATTGTCGAGGTCTTTCTTCAAGTGAATAGCTTCGCCTAACCTAGTACTTTGCCCACTCATGCAGTTTACAACTTGCGGACAACCTTTTTGTTTGCAATCAAACCGTAATCACGGTACATGTGACGTCTACTATTGCTGTTGCACGCTTGCAAAACGTTCCTGTAAAGCGCTTATTGTTTCTTCAGTCGTTTTTATAGGATTCCGCTATCTACCCGTTGCAACCCACGAAACCGATTGTTCTGGACTGCAAAGTGGTGTTTTGTCCTATTACACCTTAATGTATGGTTCATACTGGTCCCGACGTGATGGGTTTCAAAAAATTCTGCTTTGGATAGAAATTCCTATTGCTTGTATAGCGTCAAATCTAGGCCGCTTCCATCCCACAACAGCGCACTCGATTACCAATTCACAACACTCTGTAAAGAAATTAGGTGAAACACTGATAGCGGTAGCGAGTTAGAGGGGAGCTCTTTCGAGTTTGACCATGGTTACCGCTGGTTTCCAAACACTGATATACTCAGGAATCGAATACCTGCGTAAGTTTTCGCTACTGGAGTCCCCGATACTTACCTTTTCATTGCACATTATTTGGTATACCTTTGGCTCCGTTGGTTCCGTTATTTGATGTTGCGTAAAGCTTAACCGTTAGTTTGTCCTAGGATGCATTGGAAAATCATTTATCAAGTTTTGTCCTCAGTTGCTGTTAAGAACATCATAGCCGGCGTAAATGTCAGAACTAGCCACGGTAGATGTTTCGCGTTTCAAATACCTTGTTCAGTAGCTTCCATGATGCTTAGGTTTATTTTATTCTTTTCCCCTCCGCAGACAAACTGTTAACATTTCAGCTATTCCACCATGGCTCCACGCCAGGTTCGAATTTCTCATCTCTTGGAGGCTTAACGTTGGCTCGCAGAGGCACATCGGATACAAGTGCATTTTCCCCGTACCCATTCGCCTCTGTGTCTCAGGCTGGATTTATCAATTTAGCCATGTCGGCGTCAAAGTCAGGTGATAACGGTCAGGCCGCTCTGCCTTTCTGTCCTCCACCCCCGCCAGATCAGCCATTGCCTCCACTTCCACCTCCTTCGAATTCCCCTGATTCGCTTCAGCACCCGTCTTTTGGGGACAGATTTTCCGGTCGATTCCTGATTGGAACCCAAATGTCCTCAGCCGCGCCGTACGGTGCATCATTCCCTGTGCATTCTTTCTCCACCGATACCAGCCTTCTTCTCCCATTGGGTAGGTGGACTCGTATCGCAGCGTAACTTTTGTCCTCTTGCTTGAATTTTGGCCATTTGGCAACATGATGCGGCTTGTATAGCTCCATCGCTATGTCCAGACATCCGATCCCACGTAGTTGTTCGTCAGCTAGTCAACTTAATCCAATTGACTGTCTCCTTTTTGATTTTGGCTTCATTATCATTAATCCCTATTGATATCCAAAGAACTTTAGTAATTTTCTTCGTTGATTTGATATAACCTTTCCATCCCTCCGTGTTCATCTTGGTCAGATCCAGTGTGCCACTACGGAGATTGCATTCGTTGATGGGCTTTTGCTGGCCCTGCGCATAACCATCAGTTTTGATGATTATATTGACCTTAAATGTGATTCGTTCCTGATAAATTTTGTATGTTCTTACATGCATATTTTCTAACTGTAGACGGGTCTATGCCTGAATATGCCAGTGCCTCACTATTCAGTGGGAGTGGGAGCGTTCAACCTAGCCCTGGCCAACCGCCACCGGTCGGATCAATCCACTCGAAAGCGTCCGGCACTGATCCAGAGGTAACAAGACCAAGGATAGCCGGTGAAACTTATTGTGTTCCACATCAAAACAGCGCACATGTGCCTTTCGGCCTTTGGTCCCCAACCATGAAACAAGTTTCCTCTCATAAACCTACCTTGATGAATACAGTTCCGCAAGCGTCATTCTCCACTTTGCAGGGCGCTAGCAGTGAGGGACTGACTGGCAGTTTGGACTCCAGCGGCATGTACTATCTGGCTAACCCCAGCGACTCCATCCAGCTTGACATGCACAACCTCTCAATCAAGGATCGCAATCTTCAGCCCAGGACGGTCTTTTTCCCATTCTCTTCTGCTACTCCTCTAATCCCCGTACATGGGATGGCGCTCATACCCGAACTCAAGGCTGAATTAAATGGTGGCACGCGCAACCATGAACGGAACGCCACTGATACCGTAACGCCGCTGCAGATTAACAGTTCATTTGTACATGAACATTTTGTGGCGTCAGTTAAGAGTAGGAGCGTCGCTAAACCTGTGGCTGACCACACTTCCCTAGACGCATCGAAGCAGCTCGTTTCATCAAATGTCAACCCATCTAACGATACCGCTACCATGACTTGACAGTTTTCTACCATGTTCTACCGAAAGTGAAACATGCCCTGTGTTTTAGGAATCCTTTGTTTGTGTTCGGATGTCCGCGAATCGTTCCAGTGCGTCGCCAATTCAGTCTGCTCCACTTCAATTTCCCCTTGAGCCACGTGTGATTACTAAACTAACCCCTTTGGTTTCTCCTTCTAGTTCCCAGTTTGTTTAGGGTCGCTTGTGTATGATGTGTGAATCCCCTGTTGGCGCCTTTCTGCCTATTTTCATGTCTTGTATATAGCATTTGGTTCCGCTTCAGTCCCTTCAACCTTTCCGATTGCCACATTACATCCAAGTTACCGAGAGCCCATTTGACCTAGTGAAACTTCCTTTTTAAGCCCTTCAAATTGTGCATTTGGTCGCCAGCCAGCGATCGTGTCGATTACAATCAGCACCCCACCTGTAAACTGAGCATCTGCTCTTCCCCAGTCGTTGTTTATTTGTTTGTTCACTGTTTTCGCACGCCGGCATTTTGCACCTCATTGCAAAACAACACTTGTGCACGTTGCCGATACCAGAATTGTTGGGCAAATGGAGTGTCCACTGCCCTCAGGCGCCACCCTTGAACACTGCTGGCTGTGTTGGCGTGCGTGTGCGATATATTTCCAAGAGATGAACCCAGCGCCTTGGTCGTTTAGCCACTTGTCTATGTGAACGGCTGGCGCCTTTACTGGCAGGTTGTACATTATTTCTCCCCTCCCGTCCATTGCGCACACTCACAGCTAACTGTGATCTGCCCGTCTGATTTCTCATGCAGCTGGTTTCTTCCCTTCCGGTTCGTGTCAACGTTTGTTTCCATCTTTGTACATGATTCCGCTTCCAACCTTCTACCAGATTTTTCGACCATGCTCTCTCCTTGTTCATCTAAAGCTATCAACCCACTGGGATTAAATATCTAACCCTTGCAAGTTGTGGAGGTGGTTTTAATCAGGCACCAGAAGGTCTGTCTCACTGTACGGAATTCTTTCATCCATCTGGTTGCAGCCGAACTGTTTCTTAAACCCGAGAAACTGGCCGCTTAACCAATATCCGCTTTTGCCCCCAATTGCGGTTTCTGTAACATGTCGCTTAGTAGCCCACAGAGAGATCAGCTCAATGGACTAGTAATCGAGATATCAGTCGCAAACTAGTACGTCCACAGTTCCACTCCTACATACGCCTATCTCTATCTACAGAGTAAAACAAGGAAGAAATAGACTGTGTTGTGCAGCACTGGGCGCACACAACACCGCAACTCGTCACTCCAGATGCAGTTCCTTTGATATGAACAGCCCAGGTTCAGTTCAAAATAAACTGTAGTCCCAATTAAGATTACGCATGGTAACACAGTTAATGGTGGTCAGTGTAATCTGTTGCTGCGACCCATGGGTTTATGGCTGTAGGGTTCACCACATACAGACATGTTGATCTGGGTTTTAGGCACAGGATAACAGGCCGTTTGACATAGATCAGGCGGAATAGAAAAACTTTCTTGTGTCAATTGCCACAATGACTTTGTGACAAGGAACCTACACTATATGACAATTAATGCTGTTGGAATGCGCTCTCCTTGTTTTAGTAAAACACCATCAATCATCATGATCCGTTTCTTTTCACTGCTACATAATTGCAACTGAATGGGTGGTTTGGGTCCACTGTTGATTCTGCTCATCTCACCAATGTTGCACCGAGTTCTCACTGCACGGGTGATTTTAAACTCTAAATTTTTGGACTGGTTTTGAGCATACAAAGCTGACACCCAATTAGGCGTTTGGTGGGAAGGTGACATCTATCATACCAACTTCAGCAGCACTGGGTATGCTGATGTTACAAGTCGTAAACTGTTTCCTCCTTTTGCTCCGGGTATTCACGTCCTAAGCAGGGGCAGCGCGAACTATCAACCATCTCCTAAGCATAGCTCGTGATCTGGTTCCAATTCTTGTTAGCATAATTGCTCACTGTGGACTCTTGCTGATAACGGATAGAATAACGAGGCCCCATCGATTGCTACGATGGCACATGATTTATTTTCTTTGTGTGGTGTGCAGCTGTTTTCTATCATCTAGTACACGGAATTCGTCACCTTCTGTAGGGCGGTAGAAGCCAGTGACTACTCGTGAACCGGAACGATAAACAAAACGGGATTGTAAAGAATTAACAACGGGTGCAATGAATGAGACGAGACAAGGCTCTGCGAGTGATGCTGATCGAGCCGACAGCGGATCACGGGCGGCATCTGGTAACGCGCTTAGGCTCAGAGCAATGGAGGAGGTTTTTGACGAGAACGCAATGAATCAGACAAATACGCCGATAGTGAAGCCCACAGGAGTGAACGCGGGTCGAGTGATGCAGCCACAGGAGAGCAAATCGCGAACCTTCGAACCACTCATGGCCGGCCAGCGTCGGATGCATCGAAGCGGAGATACGGGATGAAAAGTTGGAGGGGTTGTCTCGAAGCCCAACCTTGTAGGCACCTGGAATGGCTCGTCACACCAATCTTCCTCCGCGTTGCGTTGTGGGAAGGCAACACGGTCCAAACCTGTACGGGTTTGTGAGTTGTCAGTGGCACGTTCTTGTGGCAATACACGATCTGCCCCCCGCGTCGTTTTCGCTACACTTCCTATGGGTTGTTATGGCGGTCAAAGTACACTCTATGCGGTAGATGACCAAAGTATTCAAGACCCGATGGTTAGATAGGAGGATAGCGTTTCCGAAGTGTTCCTACTGTTTTATATTCCATATGATCACACACCACGAACACGACCATCAGCTTTCGGTGTTGCTGCTAATATACTTAGACAGTGTCACACAATAGCCGCTACTATTCCACACCCCATCTGTTGGATGTCTGAAACCACAATGAACAAGCCAATTGAGTTAGAGATATTGTGAGCAGCACGCTCATTCTATCTACGTCGCGGAATTTTTGGTTAACCGTGTGCTGGATACTACTTTTTCTTCGGATTATTGTGTTAACAGCTTTTTCTGTGTGAATTGTGCCCCAGTATTCTACTTTTGGCGTATTTTCCAAGCGGTGCATATTTGGTGGCTGTCCTTTGGCTAATTTCGGAGATCTCATTGCTTTGCCCTACTGCCATCTCGATCCACCATTTTGGATTTGCTCTAGCTTGTGATGCCGTCTCATGCTATTTGTGGTTCCTGTTCGAAAGTTGCGGGAAATAAGGTTCATGCACTTCGGTGCTTCGGCTGCGATGTTTTGTTCCATATTTCTTACATTCGCTTATCCGTTGAAGTGTTTCGAAAATCTCTCGACATCCGCCATCGGTTTTTTCAAGTTATATGTGATAAATGTCGCGGTGCAAGACATCAGAATACACAGCGACCGCCAACAACTACGGGAAAATCCCTCTTCCAGACAGAAACAAACCGTTCACCACGTGGGGTCAAACGCTCTCGTGAAGCTACCTCTGTCATCTCGCCTTCTCTTGTCACTCCGCGAGCCGCATCACCATGAGCCTCATGTTCAATGTTCCCCACCGATGTGAGACTCAGACTCGGAACCTACAAAATGCCGCTTCACTGATCTGCCCGGGAATTTCTCAGAGCTTGTCTGTGAACTTCTGAACACCGAGGATCCATGGACCACTCAGAAGCGCAAGGGGCCACGTAAGCTAGTTCAGACGTCACCTGTTGATAAACCACAACCCAATCAGTTAAGCACCTCTAGTTCTGCTCCCACAGGTTCGTCACTGATTTTGCTGAGGCGTCATAATCTCATGGTTTTCCAAGTACCAGAGTCAAAAGATGAAAAACCTCAGATACGTTATGATCATGATGTTGAGTTCCTCCAGGGGCTCATCGATAGACTCTTGGATATGGGCGAAGACAATGTGACGATTAAACAAGTAATCCGACTTGGCCAGAAAACTAACCAATCATGTCGACCGCTGAGAATCACCTTTGCAAATCCCAATACGCCGTAGCTCATACTGTCTCATCTGTCAAGGCTGAAAGGCACCAGGGTTCACATCCGCCGAGACTTGGAACCCGAAGACAGGGATCGTTTGAAGACTGCGGTCATTGAGCTCAAACGCTGTACAGAGGAAGGTGAGACTGAGTTAAACAATTGTAAATTTTAGGGTGACCAAGGAGCGTGTACGAACCCGTATCGAGCGGTTGCTCAACCTCCAGGCACGTCCCACAGTACCTCCCAGGACCTCCGTGTGGCATTCCCCAACGTGTACAGCCTAATGAACAAACATAATGAACTGTGCCGCTTCGCTGTTTCGCAGCGGCCGGACGTTTTAGGACTTGCAGAGACTTGGTTGAACTCCGGCGTCTCACCACAATAAGTCGTGTTCTCAGGATACTTTTGTTTCCGACGCGACCGAAAATCCATGGCTCACGGTGGTGCTCTGTTGTACATAAAATCATCACTATCTGGCATACTTACGGAGAGAAGATGGTTTATGTGAGCTATTGTGCTGCGCAATCCGCCTCAGGCGCATAGAACTAATAGTGTGTATTATCTACCGTAGCCCATCAAACCGTTGTTGCGATTGGCTACCACGTGTATCGATGCACATGAGCCGCCCTCAGTTCTTACTGATGGGGATCTAAATTTACCTAAGACATTTTGGCCAGACGTTCGACTTCTTCTCGGTCATGGCAACCTTGAGGCTCAATCCGATAAAATAACTATTGAAATCGGGGCAACGCAACATGTCATCCAACCGAGGCGCGTAACTCCGCACTCGGCATCTTGTCTAGACCTAATGTTTACGAGCTGCGGGCGGAAGCTGAACGAGATCAGAGTCATCGAACCTTTGGTGAACAGTGACCACTGCTCCATTGCAGCAAGCTTAGAACTGTCGTTACCGTATTACAATCAACAGAAGCAGACATTCAAGTATTGGAAGACGGACTTCAACGGGCTCGTCCAAACTACAAGTCATACTAATTGGACACTACCACAGGATGCGTCGCTTGAGGCCTGTTGGTCAATAACGAAGGCGAAACATAACTCGCTATGTGCTCGTTTCTTTCCCCTGAAGTATTCAAAAATCGGACCAGTCAAACCACATTGATTTGGTACGGAATATAGACAGTTAACGCGACGGCGTCGCAAACTTTGGGATAGATACATCAGATCGGGTTGTGATGAACATTACACAGTGTACAAGCAACAGCGTAATTTATGTAAATCCGTAAAGATCAAGAAACGCCGGCAGTTCGAACAGGAGCTAGTATCGTCGGTCACAACTTCAGCCAAATAGTATTTGCCCATTTGAAACGTCAACTGAAACTTTGGGACGACCTACCGGTCTTAGAAAGCTTAGACAGACAGACGCTCATTTCAAACGCGGATCACACGGACGCCTTGGCTACGCACTTCCTCACTGTATTTTCCAGTAAATCGACTGCTGTTTTAGTACCAGCACAGGTTGCGCTAGTCTTGCTCGACAGCCTACAATGTGATGCATTCGAAGTGTATCAGCTACTCGTCAACCTCTATGGTACAAAGCCCCTCGGACCAGACGGACTTCACCCACTAATACTCAAGTCCCTACCGACTATCATCATACCAGCTGTGACAAACCTATTCAATAAATCACTGAAATATCTGTCCCTAACGACTGGAAATGCTCGATAGTGAGCCCGCTTCCCAAGGGTGGTGATCCGAGTAAACTAGAGAACTATAGACCGATCTGTTTGACTTCGGTATTATGCAAAATTCTCGAGGTTGTGAAAAAGTGTCTGCTGTCGTTCCTGGAATCGATGGACGTATTGACGCCAGCGCAACGGGGCTTTACGCAAGGGCGATCCTGCATCACTAACTTGATGTAAGCAAATCACCAGTGCATACGAGCTCTCAACACACGGAAGGATGTTGACGTGGTGTACATCGACTTTAGTAAGGCGTTTGACAGAGTGAACCACGAGGTACTCCTTCTTAGACTGATGACATACGAAATCGGTGGCACGCTACTAAAGTGGTTACACGAGTTTATT